CAGGGTATACAATTCTACTGGCTAATTTCCGGCAACTATAAATGACTATTACATAACAGATAGGAATAAAGAGAAAAAGTAAAAAGGTATGCAGCTATAAAGTATTTTTAAGATACTGTACGATACTACTTTATTAAAGGAAAACAAATAGCGAAGACATCCAAAAAAGGATCCAGAAGCATATAATAGTATATAGCTATACTAACAAGGTAAATAGTTGTACGGTGTTGTTCCAACAACTGTCTATAAGTATAAAAACTATCACATAACACACATACACTATGTCTATAGGAACAAGGAAATCTCAACAATGCAAAATATAATTATATAAATTATTTAAGAAATAGAATTCACTTAAAATTAACACAACCGACTATAACTATAATATAATACAAAGGCATAACAGGAAATCAAAAAATAACAATGTACTATACATTCAAAATCTCACATATCATAATTGTAAGAAAATTACCTTCTTGGGTGCGACACCAATTTTTTTCTTATTTAACTGAGAATCATCGCTACAATCAATATCTACTGGTTGAGTCTCTGTTGTAGGCACGGATTCACGTCGACTTCCTCCTAACTCAGAATCCTCAACAACTTTACCTTTTCCTTTATCAGTCACAGGAACACCTCCTATGACTGGTTCGGAATTTGTGCCGGGTAATGACTGGTAGGGAGTTTCATCGACTGACGAAGCATTAATATTATTGCCTTTTCCATCATCTAATTCTACATTTTCAGTTGTGTTTTCAATATGACTACTGCTAAGGTTACGACTAAATAGAGACTGAGAATCAGAAAATAAGGAAAAACTAGGACCAGACATGGCTGAGGCAACGGATTTAGCAGGTACTTGTCTTGAAGAATGATATTGTCCACGGCGACACCATCTACGCGCACAATGCTTCCGACCCATAGAGAAAACAACAACCCATAAATATTGATTCACAAAAGTACAAAGAAAAACACAAAAATCTATGATTTTGAAAACCCACTTTCACTAAAATATACTTTCAGAAGAAAAAATTTCACCCAAATTGAGCAAAAATTTCACCCAAAAATAGGTACTAGACGAAGAGATAGAAAGGAATCGGAAGAAAAAATTAAAATCACGAATGTGGGTGAAATTTGCGTTTTCATGTGTTGGCTATGGAGATTTGGAAACTGTTCTCTTTAGTATAGTGTTAACCGTTAAAGGACGAAGACGGAAGCTTGGGCCGGGTGAAATAGGTGGGCATGTCTTTAGTCTGGTGTAAAGAACGAAGATAAGGCTGACAATGGGTAACTTGGGCCGCATGATGGGGGGGCGGGTCAATAAATTGGGCCGACTGGGCAGAAAGAGTAAATTGTTTGGGTATGGGTATTAAAAGTAAATAATTTAGGCTTAATAGGTATAAAGTGAGATTTTCCCTTATAAAAGTAGGTGACAATCATACCAGGTGCATATTGTGATGTGAATCATCAGTGGCCCATAGGCTTGGGCCTACACTAACTTCTGCGGTAGCAAATAGCAATAAAGCCCATTTGGTCCACTAATTTTCTTTGTCAGTTTGGATTAGATAGCCAATCTCAAGGATGCTATTTAGAGATTAGCCAGTACTTATTTTTTCTGATATTTTAAACTAAAATTTTTAACTTCAGGACAGTTCAGAATATTTTTGTCCCCAAAATTTGAACTGAAAAATTAAAATTCAGGACCCATTAGCTAATTCTTAAATAGCAGCCCTTTAAAGTGGCTACCTGATTTTATTTCTACCATAACAGGATAATACATATTGGGTTGGACAGTATGGTGGTTAACACATCGCATTTTATCTGGACTTTGAGTTCAAATCATAGTTGTGTTTTTGGTCAATAATTATACACAACTAAAATTCAGTAGCTTAATTATCTTTTATAAGAAGTGCTAATGGAATACTGTGGTGGTTAAGCACATCGCATTTTGGGATCGACTCTGATCACTCTATTACGAGTGCTGCCAACTCAGGCGTGCAATAGATTTAGTGAAATGGCCTTATCCTTTTTTTTTCAAACAATTTTATTGAATTGAAAGCTAAGTTAAATTATTACATAATGGCGTTATATTTAAGACCTCTATTGGTCCGTGGGCTCCAGCCTATGTTAACTTGATAAAATTTTTATGTGGCACCCAATTTTGCATCACCTATTGAATTTGTATTTACTTTTTAGAAAAGGTTTAACTGATACTTAATTTTTAAATAATTTAGAATATATAAACTTTTCTCTTCTTCTTTAATGTTGTTTTCTACTTTTTTGTGCTTAGCATTTCTTCTTCTTCTTCTTAGTTGTTAAATGAATTTGTTAAATTTATTTTTGTTTTGACAATTTGATGATTGAGATTTGTTCTTTGTGATATTTGAAAATTACGTTTCAAATTTGAGCTCATTTGGAGTAGATTTAGGCATTGAATCGTGTATTGAATTATTGAAATTCGAAAACAGGGTTATGTTTCAGAACTTAGAATTCGAAATCTGAAGTTGCATTCAATAGATTGAACTATTTAAGATTTGCATTTGAAAGATAGAATAACTTCATATTTAATTTTTGAAGTTGCATTGAAGAGATTGAACTACTTCAGAATTCAGATCCGCACGGTATACTTTGCAAATTTTTGTGAAATGCGGGTATAACTTTAATGATGACCCCAAAAATGGATATTTATGAAAATGTCCCTGCTAACTTGTTGGGTTGCCGCTCAAGCCCAATTCGTTCCACATGGTTTCTTTCAGAGTTCTACATCCATAGCATGATTTTCCCTCGGCGCCACCTTCCAAACCATTACTCCTATGTTTACGCTTTACACCAAGCCATTGCAGTAGCACATTTTATGAGCCTGTTTGGATGGGCTTAAAAGCTGGTCAAACTAACTTTTAAGCTCTTTTTAACTTCTGGAAGTGTTTGGCAACTAAACAAATGGCTTAAAAAAAAGCTAAAATCTGCTTTAAAAAAGCCAAAACCAACACGTTGGGTAAACCCAACTTTTTCTAAATTGGCTTAAAAGCCATAATGCTTTGACCAAGGATATTACATTCTTATCCCTTATAATTTTTCCTGAATCTCGAAATTACCCCTCAGTACAAAACTTGAAATTGTTGCTATCTTCTTCCTCCCGAAACTGCAGCATCTACTTTCTTCATTTTACTTTTTTTCTTTCCCGTTCTTCTCCAGATTAACGATTTGTTTGCTCCCATTTTTTATTTTTTACTAATTTTCTTTAAAATATTAAATATTATTTTCGTTCGCTTTCTTCATACTTAAATTGTTCGTTTGCTTTATTCATACTACTTTTAGTTTTATATATTGAAAGTGAATTAAATTTTTAATTATTATGTATTTATATTATCAGAATAAAATATTATAGTAATAAGCTTCTTTATATGTTTAACAACTTTAAGGATATTTCAGTAATTTTACCAGAAAAATGGCTTACTAACACTTGTTTACCAAGCACTTGAATAGCTTTTTTTCAGCTCAAGCAATTTTATCCAAACACGTAACTGCTTATTTATAAAATCAGATCCAGCACTTATACTTAAAAGCTACTTTTTTTAAGCCAATCCAAACGGGCTATATATTTTGTCACCATTGAAGGAGGTTTTGCAAAAATAGCCATTTGGGAGGATTATGTTGCTCTACAAGTTCAATGTCCAGAATTCCTTGCTTGAGGACAAGCAAGCTGTTAAAGAGGGAGAACTGTTACAAATTTAAGATGCACGTTAAAATATAAAACAAAAATTAAGGTCTCATTTGTTTGCACTTAATGAAGGTCTGAATCTTAATTATTCAAATCTCAGACATTAAGTGCATTTATTTTTAAATTCTGAATTTTAATTCAAATCTTAATCATTAAGTGTGTTTTTTTTTTTTTTTACTTCGGAAGGTTTGAATAGGTCTGTATGATTAAGATGTATAACAAAGACTTAATTTCGTTAAGATGCTATCATCCTTATTCATTATTAACTGTTGCCACCGCTACCATTATCAACTATGATCATCATACTCAACTACCACCACCACCACCATCCTCCATCCCATCATCGACTACCACCACCCACCATCCCCACCACTTTCACCACCATCCCCACCACTTTCACCACCATCATTCTCAATCACAACCATAACTCATCCACCTCAACTACCACAACTAATCACCCCATCACCATCAACAAACGTAGACGACACTGTCCATCATTATAAACCGCCACCACCACCCGCCATTATTAACTGTCACCACCCACCACCACTATCCTCAATCATAATCGCCACCACTATCAATCACCACTAATTACTACCCTGAACCACCACCACCAACCAAAACTACCACCAGCCACCGCTCTAGTCGGTATTCACAAGCACTACCGTTAGCCGTCACCACCAACAACTATCATATTTTAAAAAATTATATATTTTATTGATATAATATTAGATTAATTAGTATTTCATTTGAGTTATATGTTTATTAATTTTCAGATGTTAAAAAATAAATAATCTTAATTATGATATTCAAATGTGTATTCAGATTCAAATGTTTTAATCTTAATACAGATGTGTATTCAGATTGAGACGTCTTAATTTTTAAAAAAAAAAAACAAATGAGGCCTAAATACTTTTGTTATTATTTAATTTCTGTATTACAATTACAAAATAACTGATTAGCGAACAAACAACCCCTTAAAGGATTACATTTCCTCTCCTTTACAGTTTAGTCCTTTTATCTTTTAAGTTTAAGGTTCTATATTTAGAGATTAGGCCTAATAATACGTCATTGTAGTTACTCTTTTAATCCTCTGTCGTTTCTCCTTCCCCTCCCCTGTATATGACAAAAATTAAATAAAAAAACAAAAATCCTCTGCCAATTCTGTTACGTGAGGTACCGTACGATTGTCAGGCCTCGTTGCCCACTACCACAAGGCACACTAAGCAGCCGGAAATGGAAATATATATATAAACATCCATTGTATGTAAATGTTTTATGCAATGAAAGAATTTACTCGAATTTAGTTCTCTTTTACAAAATTTCGGTTCCTTCTTCTTACTATTTCAATGGAGGTCACTGAACAGTTAGTTCCTCAGCAATATAACAGTGATAAAGAGAAATCTGCTGAAGTGACTTTTATTAGGTCAAGGAAGTCAACTAAAATAGCTATGGAGAAATTAAAGGGAATTAATCAGCAATTGGATGAATGGGATGAAGAAGACAGAAATATAGGTAGAAAAAGAAGGGGTAAAAATGAGAAAATTGGGAGTAAAAAAAAGTGTAAAAACCAGAAGCTTGAGGGAGAAGAAATAGTGGAAGCTGGATCAGATTCTGGAAGATATTCTATGCGACAAATGAAATCAAATCCCAGAAACAGAAAGAGGAAGGATGAAAATGTTCAAATATCTTAACCTTCTTAATACTACTACTAGATTCGCAAATGTGATCATTTAATTTATGAATTTAAGCTATATATGAACACTGTTGCAGCAGTTTACTTGCTATTTATTTTAGGTTAACAATCAATCTTTATTAAGTAGAGCTACCTGTAATTACCTTTTAAGTGACATGATAGTGTAGATTTTTTTATACCGATAATGTATAGAACTTAAATTTGTTATTTATTCCTCTAGAATATGAGTACTAATACCGAATTGTCTTTGTTTTGAATTCAAAACATGGGCAGGGGAATGAGTTTGAATCAAATATGTGTCATCAGTGCCAGAGGAATGACAAAGGAAGGGTTGTTCGTTGCACCAACTGTAGAACAAAGCGATATTGTGTTCCTTGCATGACCAGATGGTACCCAAAAACCCTTTACCCTCACTATTCCGGTTTTAAGTGTATTACTTTCCTTTTTATTCTGTTTCGGAAAGACTGTCACATTTCTATATTTAGTTAGTTATTAGTGTCCTTAATGACACTCGAATGTCATATGCTTAAGACCACAAGAGAAGGGTATTTTTGGTATATTATACACACTTTTAGTTTAAGAGAACATGATTCAAAAGTTTTCTGTACATTCTTAAACCTCGTGCCCAGTCAAACTAAGAGACTGGAGTATGTTATTGGTTTTCGTTTACGTGAGTAATCTTACTGAGATTTTAAATGTAAAGTTGGACTTGAGAGGAGACAGTCCTCTGCACCTTGTGGCTTATTTGAGCAATTTTGCCTCTTAATGAGTTATTGCAATTGTCACAACTGATAAAATGCTAAGCATGAAGAGCATTTTAACAACTTGAAGCTTCATAGTGTCATATTCAACACCGATTCTCAATTGTGCAGTTTTCTTTTCGTGTTTCTGATGACCGCTTTTTCCCTTTATGATCAATAATAGGTACCCTGGGATGCCTGAGGAGGCTTTTGTCGAGTCTTGTCCTGTTTGTTGTCAAATCTGTAATTGCAAAGCATGCTTACGCCTAGACGGGCCTATAAGGGTTGGTTTCTTTTGTTGTTTCCACTTTTATTAAGTTACAAGTTAACAGTATATGCGGCACGCTTATCCAAAGTTTTGTTGCAGGCTTTGAAGAACTTAGGATTTGAGATCAGTGAAGAAGAAAAGGTTCAATATTCTAAATTTATCTTGCAAAAACTTTTGCCTCTCTTGAGAAGAATCAATACAGAGCAAGTGATGGAGATGGAGGTTGAAGCTAAGATTCAAGGTTCTATAATCTTGTTCAAAGATCGGATGCCGTAACATTTATATTTTTCATTTGATATGCAGTATACTTCTCATTTGGGAAACCCTTAGTACGCATTTAGATTCTGCTAGGTGATATATACTGGCGCAGCTAGAAAAGATAACAAAATAGTCATATCTCTTCCATTTATTTGCAGATGGTTGAGTTTAAAAGGATTTGAAATGTTAAATAGAGGATGTTTTAACATACTTGCTGTTTCCTATATAAGGAAGAATAGTTTCATCTAGCGGTAGAGAGATACCAACTTCTTCCAAGAAAAACCGAATGCATCATGCATCTTCATCTGTTTCCTATTATAGCTAGAATTTCCCGTATTTATTTGGGCAGGATTACCAGTGTCAAATCTAAAGCTGCAGAAGGAAAAGTGTCATAGGAATGAGCGAGTGTACTGGTAAATATGAAGAACCTCTTTTTTCCCTGTCAATTCTCTTGGAATGATTTTCAAGTAAACTGAATTGAGCAATGTTTTGTGCAGCGATAACTGCCAAACATCCATTGTTGATTTTCACAGAAATTGTTCCAGCTGTTCGTATGATCTTTGCCTTACTTGTTGCCGGGAGCTTAGAGATGGTCATCTTAAGGGAGGTGAAGAAGTCATCATTGAATTCACAGACAAAGGTTATGCTTATTTGCATGGTGATATGACAGCTAATAATAGAACTTCAAGGAGTAGATTTTCCAAGAACAAGGTTGACAATAATCCCGTGGGAGATGCCGAGTTTGCATATGAAATGGAGCCTAGGGATAATGGAGGGCTTCCGCCAGAGAATTCTGGTGGTCGTGCTGGTGAATGGAAATCCAATGTAGATAGCAGCATCCCTTGTCCACCAGAGAATTTTGGTGGCTGTGGTAAGGGAAGTTTAGAGCTGAAGTGCCTGCTGTCAAATTCAAAGAATCCGGTCTCTGAGTTGTTGGCAAAGGCTGAATATATTGCCAAAAGATGTGAATTGGAACACATGCCTCAAATACCTCAGGGGTCATGCTTATGTATAAAATTAGTTGATGAAACTGATGTGCAGAAAAGTAAATTGCGTAAAGCAGCATCACGTGACGATTCAGATGACAATTATTTATACTGTCCAGCAGCTAAAGATCTTCAGCAGGAGGATCTGAAGCATTTCCAGTGCCATTGGCTGAAAGGTGAGCCTGTGATTGTTAGTAATGTGCATGAAACTGCGTCAGGGTTAAGCTGGGAGCCCATGGTTATGTGGCGAGCGTGTCGCCAGATGAAGAACTTAAAACATCCCATTCTTTTGGATGTCAGCGCCATCAACTCATTGGATTGGTGTGAGGTCAGTTTATTACTTCACAATGATACATGAAGCAAAATTATATGCCTTTCTTTTGGGTGGGGAGGAGGAGGAGGATTATTTATGTGCATCTTGGTAATCTCTATTTACTATCTCAGCGTACTTCGTGAGACATCAATTTGTAGTTTTCCTTGCTCTAAAAATATCTTAGTAAAATTGTTTTACTCTAGTTGCATGACTATATTGAAGAATCTCTCCGTCCCTTTTGTGTCATCTGTGGTTCTCTTGATGACAATATAATTGGGTTGCAAACAGAAATACAAATCAGTATGCAGAATAGATCAAAATCTAATGCTTGATACAAAGTTCAATGCTATGATTGTAACCTCAATGCTAGGGTTTTTAGATCATTTGATGATACTAATTTAGGGTGGGATTTTCAAGCATCCATTTTGGATGTGTATTCTCTGTGTTTCCTTTTATAATAGATGATTCTTTTTTGCTTTTTGTGCTTTTTTAACTCATGAAACACTATTTGTGTGAACCAATTATTGTAACAAACTTCTTGACAATGCATTGGAGTTGAGCTGGGAACATTTGGTTATGTGGCGTGTTTGTCAATAAACAAAGAAGGTTTGTCCAGTCATCTATTCTAGAACTGTGAGCCACAAGCTAACATTGTTGCACCTTATGCTATGCCTGATTATCCTAATAACCGCATGACTATGCAAGTTTACTAATTTCTCCATTCTGGTATGGATCTATCCATAGTTTTGTAGTTCAAAGTCTTCGTAAAACACAATCGTGACCCTATTATAGCTTAAAATTTTCAACTTCGTCTGACCATAAGTCATGCTTGGGATCTTATTGAGTAGTTCTATAAGTGATCTCTTCTTGCTCTTTGGCAAGTGGTATTTGATCTAGTTCCAGAACTTGATCTCATTGCTGTATTGTCAGCTTTGTGTCTTGTTATTTGTCAGCTTTGTGTCTTGTTCATTACATTATGCGAGAGTGACGTGGCCAAATCAACAAATTGTTGCAAAATGGATTGAAAGTATTTTAATACTTTCATCCCAAAAGAAAAAATGCTTATCCAAAACTCGAACTATCTGCAACTGCATTTACAAGTAACCTCATTGTACATTCTAGTTACTTCTCTGGATGAGTTTGAGGGTTAAAGGAAACACATCAACCAGAAGGCTTACTTATTGCACATATTAATTGTGTTAGTGTAATTAACCCCTTAATGTTTTAAAAATAGTAGTGGGTGAAAACCTTGGAGACCAGGGTTCAAATTCCAGTAGAGAAAAAAGCATTAGATGATTTCTTCCCATGTGCCTAAGCCTTGGTGGACAAAGTCACGCGGTATCTGTACTGATGGGAGGTAGTTGGTACTCAGTGAAATAGTCGAGGTCCGCGCGCTGGCACTGCACCACCATTTTAAAAAAATTTAATGATATAAATCATTACCACTCTTACAAATCATCTAAATTACTTTGCACAGTAGTTAACTCCTGTTTTTTGACATATTGCTCTCCGTAAGTCTGTTTTAGCTCAAGTGCAGTGTCTCATTTTCAAATTCTAAGTCATATGTAATTAAGAAATTGACTATTTGAGTTTGTGTAAATATGCTTTGTGAACATTGGAAATAATTGAGGCCTAGATTCTGGTAAATTATATTTCCATGTTATCTCAAATTACTTTATCCTGGATACCATGCAGCTGGAGATAAATATTCACCAGTTTTTCAAAGGATATATGGAGGGTCGCTTTGACAGTTTTGGGTGGCCTCAACTCTTAAAGTTGAATGACTGGCCACCATCAGGTCTATTTGATGAGCGGCTGCCGCGTCATGGTGCAGAATTTTGTAGCTGTTTACCTTTTAAGGAGTATACACATCCTCAACATGGCTATCTCAATCTTGCTCTAAAACTTCCTGATAATTGTTTGAAGCCAGATTTGGGGCCTAAGGCATACATTGCGTATGGTTTTCCTAAGGAGCTTGGACGCGGAGACTCAGTCACCAAGCTGCACTATTATGTGTCTGATACGGTATGTTTGGCTCCTGGTAACATTGCTGGTACTGTAGAAATCTGGAAGTTTCTGAAATTTTAACATGCACACAAATATTTTTGGGGCATTTTGATAAGTGACGTTGAGAAACATACGATAAGGCTATCCAAGTTCCTGCTCGAGGTTTAATGTTTTCTTGAAATTATCTTTTAGGTGTTTTTGTTGATGCACACTCAAGCTGCCGTGCCAGCAGCTGATCAGCTCTCGGCCATAGAGAACCTGAAACAGAAGCACAAAGCACAGGATCAGAAGGAATTTGCAACTGATGCTTACAGGACTCATGGGAGGATTAAGGATTGGGTCCCTAGTGTAAATGGAAAAACTGTCTTGAATGAGCTGAGCATTTCTCAGGAGAAGCAGAACTGTGATGGTTTGGAAGTGGAAAAAAGTAATAAAGCTGAGAAAAAGAAGTATAGCCAGCAAGGTGTAGAAGCAGATTGTGAAACAAATGGAGAGGCAGACCAATTTCAAAATAGAGAAGACGCAGACGGTGGTGCTCTATGGGATGTCTTTAGGCGGAAAGATATTCCTGAACTGGAGGAATATCTCAGGAAGCACTTTAGGGAATTTCGGCACATATATGGCTCACCCTTGCCGCAGGTAAAGATAAGTGAGCAACTTTCATTTACTTGTCGTTTCGAAGTTCATAAAATAATTTATCTTTATCCATGTGCTGCCTCCCCCTTGACTATAAGTCCACATTGTCATTTGTTGTTCCTTTCTCTTGGCTTGAATCTCCATAGGCTGACTTATATTTTGGGTTTGTTTATGATGATCATCTTTTACTTAAAACAATAAGCAGTTAAAGTTAAGCTCTACCTCATTGCTCATCGCTAAAGACTCCCTCTACCAATCGCTAAGGATCTTTTGATCTTTATGTTTCGCTTCTTTATTATGTGTAACTGCCAATTCAGAATTCGGGTTTAACTAGCAATCATTTGTTAGTTTGGAGAGCCATTGACTGATGGTCAGACATTTTGCTACGCGGTGATGGTCACCATAATTACTATGGAGTAATGGCCTGATATTTTGGTTCAGGTGATTGTTATTGTATTTGCTGTAGACTGATCGTGTGATGTTAAGATATTGGTAATTGTCATTATAATCACTTTGAAGTTTAGTGTGAAAACATTTATTTTACGTTATAGGTCTTCAATTCTGTCGATAGACGTTAGCTATGTTGTTGGTTCCTTCTATTTTATGGTTCAGGAATTACATATCTTAGCTAGCGAAAGTTTCAATTGAAATTTGATATCGCATCAAACTCCTATATATTTGACCTGATGTCTTAATTGATTAATCCAAAAAGATATTTTTCGTAAGTGGCATTTCAGAAAGCTTTGTTTGTGAAGTGGAGAACAGGTTAAAATCCTTGTCTTCGATGTGTCTTAAATTTTAAACATTCTCCTGGAAGGTAGTGAGAATAGGTTGAGGGTCCTTGCCATACACTGTTTTCTTTTTGCTGTGTGTTCTGCTTAGAATGCTTGTCAAAAAATCCTTGTATAGTGAGTCGTGCTATAGTTTTTCCTGTCCTCCCTTTATGAAGAGATAAATGGATTTGTTCTTTTCTACCATGTCTCAGTTTGAATTTGGATACCTGTCTTATTCTTATTGTTCCGTTGCAGGTTGTTCATCCCATTCATGATGAAACTTTCTACTTGAGCACAGAGCATAAAAGGAGACTAAAGGAAGAATATGGTCATATTATTCTCTTATTCATTTGCCAATTCTTTGCACGGCACATTAGAAAGCAGTTTCTAGACTGCAGCCTTGCAATTACTGTGCTCTCATACTTTCCTTTTGCAGGCATTGAACCATGGACTTTTGTTCAAAAATTAGGTGAAGCTATTTTTATTCCTGCTGGATGCCCTCATCAAATCAGAAATTTAAAGGTATATAATGAGTTCATCTCTCTATCCCGAGTGTGGCTCATTTTTGTCAGCCTTTCTGACAGCAATTTTGCGGTATTAGGGAAGTCCGATAGCACATAGTATGATCACTCTCTTTTCCTGAAAAGTCTGCTTTTAGACGTCATAGTCTTTCATGTTGCTTTAAAGTATCCTCTATCCAATTACAGCTTCTCGAATGGCACGTTCCTACTGCTTTATGCAGAGTGAGAAAAAGATAGAAATGAAATTGGGCATTTCTAACATGAATGTCTACAAGAATGGATTTTATTCTGATAGCTTTTGGTGCATAGATGCTACTGAGGTGTGCAACAACGCTATGAATATGTAAACATCTGTCCATTATCATGTTTGTCTCTGTTGGTCAGAAGTCCTTTTCTATGTTACAAGGAGGTAAAAATCAAGTATCTGGTCTGGAATGGAGCCTGAAAATTTATCGATCAATCAAATGTTGAGATAGATAACTATGTCTTGTTTTTCTCAAAGTACGCATCTTTCGGTAGTTTCTTCTTATGGATGTATCTTCCTGCACAGATGTGATTTGCACTATAGGATCTTAGCTTAGTGAACTAAGCTCGATGACTACTGGTGTGTTCATGTTTACAGTCCTGCATCAACGTTGCTGTTGATTTTGTTTCACCTGAAAATGTGAATGAGTGCATCCGTTTGACCGAGGAGTTTCGCCAGCTTCCCAGAAATCATGTTGCTAGGGAAGATAAGTTGGAGGTACGTTGATCCTTATTTCTCCTTCTTCTTCCTTTTTTCTTTTTTTGATAAGTGGTGCTCTTGACATGCTTCTGCCCCTCTTAATCATCTGTAACTAGAAAAGTGCTATGTTTTTTGATATTATGTTCTTTTCCTCAAAAGCATGGTCAAGAGAGTATCACAAAATGTACCATAAGCACCTAATGAGCACCACCTAGTAGAAAATTTTTTGGAAAGGTAAAATTCCATAGTTTGGAATATAGTTGTCTTGTGCAAATGTCACATGTTCTTGTTTCATTGATTGCCTTTTTCTAGACTTGTTTTTATTCATTTCTTTATTTAAGATCGTTTTTTTGTATTTTATTCTGTTTTGGCATGGAAAAGTTCTAACCATTTTCCCAGCATCCTCCCTTTTATCTTCTTACCATGTAGCATGACATGAGTGTTTTGGTGATGTTGCAACCAATGTGTTTACGCAGTTTCACCCTCTGTTTAGCCTTTCACGTTGGAGTCCTTGGTCTAGGTCATTTCTCAAACACCTGATTAATTATGCTTGATTTTTGAAAATAAACTCCTTATTAATTACTTTAATTATGAAATTAGATGTTTAAGTTTGTATGTCCTCATTACATGTTGCAAGCTTTACAATCTGCGCTACATTGATGTTAAAATGATATCCATTTGAGCACTGGGTACATATTTTATATAGGAAATGGTCATAGTTTCCCCTGTACTACAAAATGAAGCTACTTTGCCATCCGTTAGACTTTTGGTCTAATATTACCCCTGCCATTAGGAAAAAGTCTTGTTTTGCCCTAGACCCCAAAGGATCCCCAACCTGAGGATAACTTTAAATCATAGTCAAAAGTTAAGGGTAAATTTGGACCCTTTTTCTCAAAGAATTTGGATACGTGGAGTCGAATTTCAACGCTGGACCTCTGTTAATGGCAAGGGCAAATACGTGACCATTTGCTAATGGCAATGGTATGAATGGATCAAAAGTGTAATGGAGGACAACATTGAGCAACTTCGGATAGTACAGGGACAAATATGGACCTTTCTATTTAGTTTCATATGACATGTTATTGTTCTCACAGCAAACAGTGTGTGCATGTTTAAAGATTATGTAAATTTGCCTGTGCGGCTTCAGGTAAAGAAAATAATTGTTCGTGCAGTGAGCCAAGCAGTGGATCATTTGGAGAAAACAACATTGTAAGAACACTGCTCCTTTTTCACGAAGTTATGCCCTTATTTTCTTTTTGCTTACACATGAAACTTATTCGTTACATTAAAAAAACTTAACCTTTTTTTATCTTATGTCTTATACAACTTTCCTTCCAACTCTGTATGCCTTTTAAAGCTTTTGTGCTCTGGTCTTATTCTGGTCTCTGGATATGCTTAAAGCATAATGTCATTTCTGATTTTGTTGCCCATGGAGCTTTTATCATCTGGTTTTGTCATTCTGGACATGCTTAAAGCTTTGCATCCTTGCTATTATCACCAACTCGGATAGTGATTAATGCTTGTGTCTTATGTTGAAACACACAACCATTTAAAGACAGTTTAGATACTAGTGGCTTTGTTGCCGCATAATGCATTTGAGGAAAAAAAGTTGGGAACTCTCCTCTGTGAATCTCAAAAGATAAATACCCCTATTATTTGTAGCTCCAAAGTGGGAAAACCACCGTGGTTAGTGCTTTTCCTTCCGGCTCTCTAGAGGCCTCATTTGTTTGCACTTAATGGAGGTCTGAATCTTAATCATTCAGATCTCAGACATTAAGTGCGTTTCTTTTTAAAGTCTGAATCTTAATTATTCATATCTTAATCATCAAGTGTGTTTGTTTTTTTTTACTTCACAACCGCTTAATGGGTCTGAATAGCTCTGTATGATTAAGATCTATAATAGAGACTTAATTTCATTAAGATGCTATCATATATTCATTATTAACTGCCGCCACCGCCTACCATTATCAACTACCACCATGCCACCACCACCACCATACTCAACCATCACCACCACCCACCACCACCACCACCACGATCACGCCACCATCATCCTTACATAGCCTCCATTATCGACCATCACCACCTACTATCCCCACCACTCCGACCACCATCATTCTCACCCACAATCAACACTCATCCGCCTCAACTACCACAACTAACCACCCCATCACCATCAACAACCACAGCCGGCACAGCCCATCAATATAACCTATCACCACCCACCCACCACCTTCCTCAATCACAACTACTACCACCACCCGACATTATTAACTACCACCACCTACCACCACCATCCTCAATCATAATTGCCACCACTACCAATCACTACTAGCTACTAGCATGAACCACCATCATCAACCAAAACTACCACCAACCACCGCCTCTAGTCGGCATTCACCCGTTAGCCATCACCACCAACAACTATCATATTTTAAAAAACTATATATTTTATTGATAGAATATTAGATTAGTTAGTATTTCATTTGAATTTTATGTTTATTAATTTTCAAATAAAGATAAATTTTATACATTCAGATGTTAAAAATCAAACAGTCTTAATTATTTCTATTCAGATCTTAATACACATCTAAATATATTCAGATGTGTATTCGGATTCTGATGTCTTAATCTTAATACACATCTTGATATTCAGATGTGTATTCAGATTCAGACGTCTTAATCTTAAAAAAAAAACAAATGAGGTACCCTTTGTTTATGTATACTTTACATCTTTCATTTTTTCCTGTGGATGCAAGAAGGCACACAGAATCAGGCATTGTTACCGGATCATCCTCATCAAGTCTGATCAGCGAAAGTATAAATGTGAGCCAAAGTACCAACATCTTTCATTTCTGAGTGAAACTTCATTATTTGGCGTGTTTTTCATTTCCTCCTTTATAGGATATGCCAACACCAAGTATGCGAAAATCTTCCTCCGTTTTGGAAGATCTATCTGGCAAGAGTGCCAAAAGAGAAGAATATGTTGCTCCAACTGAGGATGAGAAACCAAGAACTGCTAAAGTTAATCTGTATTCTCCACTTACAAATTCTGTTCATTTGTCTTCAGCAAGCAAGGTTCACACATTTGATATAGATATAATTTCTGGTTTAAATTTTCCTTGTTACTGCCGTATAATTTTATCTATGGAAATATACTTTTATTGGCAGGCTCAAGAAAGCATATTTGTTCCTAGTCAAAAGTTAGAGCAGTCCAATTTAGAGGATGTGGAATTCCACTCAGTTCAATCATTCACGAAGTCTTTGCCAGAGCAGTATTCGAGCACACAATCGGGCCAATCTTCCTCCATTTTGGAAGATCTTTATAGTGGAAAGACTACCAAAACAAAAGAATATGTTGTTCCAACTGAGGATGAGAAACCAAGAACTGTTAAAGTTGATCTATATTCTCCACTTCCAGATTTTGTTTATTTTTCTTCAGCAAACAAGGTTCCCAAAAGAGAGGAATATGTTTCTCTAAATGAGCATGAGAAGCCAAGAACTGCTGAAGTTCATCTACATTCTCCACTTCCAGATTTTGTTCATTTGTCTTCAGCAAACAAGGTTCCCAAAAGAGAGGAATATGTTGCTCTAAATGAGGATGAGAAGCCAAGAACTGCTGAATTTAATCTACATTCTCCACTTCAAGATTTTGCTCATTTGTCTTCAGCAAACAAGGTTCCTAAAAGAGAAGAATATGCTGCTCCAAGTGAGGATGAGAAACCAAGAACTGCTAAATTTACTCCTCTTCCTGATCTTGTTCATTTGTCTTCAGCAGACAAGGTTTGCGCCGTATTCCAATAGTGATACAGATACAATTTCTGGTTTGAATTTTCCTTCTTACTGCCATATAAATTTATCATAGAAATATACTTTTATTGGCAGGCTCAAGAAAGCACATCCGTTCCTTGTCAAAAGTTAAAGCAGTCCAATTCAGAAGAGGTGGAATTCCATTCGGCTCGGTCATTCTCGAAGTCTTTGCCAGAGCAGTATTCCGGAACAGAATCAGGTCTCTGGAGCAACAATGATTCAACCCGAACGCTTAAAAAATTAATATTTGATTGTTCAATCAGACTGTCTTTAGAGGCATTGGCTGACCCAGGGAACGAAGAAGAAATGTGCGGTGCAATTGCTGCTTTAAATGAAGATCCCTCATCGTTTAGTGACAAGCATGGCAAGCAATTGGTAAAACTTAAGCATGAATTCCCTATCATGGTTAAGAAATGGAGGGACTTGGCACAAGCTGAATCAAGTTACCAGGAATTCTTGACCAACTTTGAAAAGGATAAGAAAAAACTGGATGATTGGAATAGATTAGAAGCAAAGTTGATGGCGGAGTATGTGAAAAAGGAGGAGCAAGCTAGAGAATTGGAAGCAGCGCTTCAAACTATAAAGACCAGGCAGAAACAAATCATGGACGAAAGACTAGAAGCCACCCGAGAGGCTCAACGCATTGTCTTGTTAGCTCAAGAAAAAGTCAGCAAGATCGATAGAACCAAAAGTAAATTGGCAACAACAAAGATGGAAATGGATAGCTTGAGAAAAAATTGGTCCAATTTCCAGTCTTCATTCCCTTAGTTATTACATTCAGTTCCTTCTATAGTCACAATTACATTGTAGACTTTCTCTCGACTTTATGCCTTCAGATAGGCCTCTTTTGGTTCCTAGGACTAAATATGTTTTGGAAGGTGAAGTTATAGTCCATATGTACATAATATACAAGTAGCTGCTGCGGCAGATTTTGGCTTTGACTTTGGCTTGCTGTTGGATTACTCTCTTACATGTACATAAGAGAGTGATTCATTACAAGGATCAACATCAAAATTACTATCCAGTTAATACTAGAAATTTGGAAAACAGAGCCTACTGGCTACTTTACTCCCATTCCTAAGCTCGATTTCCCTCGATTCTCTGGACATGATTTACTTATATGGTTGTATAAGGTGAATCAGATTACTGAGTAGACAGAGGTGGAGCTAGGATTTGAAGTTTATTGTTCTGAATTCATCACCGAACTCATATCTCGTCTTAGTTACTGGATTCGAAATTAAATATTTATACATATTTTATGAATTTTTAAATACAAATACTGGGTTTAAGCAGAAGCTACAAGGTTCATCCGAACCTGCAGCTAATGCTCTCCCTTCGCCCCTGACAGTAAATTATGAGACTTTTTATCAAAGGGTTAAAGTAGCTTTACTTTATTTTGATGGTGAAGCAATTTCTTGGATATGATTTATGTTCATGGTTGCACTTGTTCTTAACTGCCCCCTTTTAGAAGAAGAGCTAAAGAAAACCAGAGAGTAAAACTGGTCAAAAACTAGCTAGCACATGTCACCTGAAGCTGATTAAATTTTGATCCATTAATTAATCAGTTGTACTTTTGCTAAACTAGCTCAAATTTTCTCTAAACAACGGCACTACACAGTTAAATTCTGGGTGGGTGCAATACCTGCCTTAATACTTAAAAACTAAACTAAAGTTTCCATTTAATTAAGTAATTTTAAGTACTTTAACATTCATATCTACCGTTAAACAAGAATATTACTCTTCTAATTTACAATGGGTGGCGTATTGATTGGTGGGCAGAGGGGTATATACCTCGCCCAAAGCAGCATAACTGAACACTGCTTATCGAAAAATTATAGTACAATATATGTATATTATGTATCAACAATAAGCAAAATAAAAATATTGGGTATATATAAAAATAACACCACTTATTATTATAAGTACGTTTATTTATTTAGTTGCTTATTTAAAAATTGACACCAACTTATTTAAATATTGATACAACTACAAAAAATTCTAGTGCACCACCGTACTTCGCAAAAAGTTCGGCCTTCGGTAGGGAGGCATATGCCAGACATTGATGTGTGTGTGTGTTTGTAGGTTAATTGTTCATTGGGATCCCACAAGCCACAACAGATCACTGTTAAACTTGTGATAAATAATGCAAAATGGATTTTATATTCTTTCTTGAAGCTTATATTACTTAAACCAAAGCATTACATGGTTCTAACATAATCCCGAAGATATTTGTCACTACCCAAAATTCATTAAAGGTCGTGATGGCGCCGGACACCGCTGTCAGGCAAGCCAACATTAAATAGTTAATTAAATTCTCATTTTAATATTTATTTTTTGAAATCATAAATTTCCTTCAATTTAACCAGTAACAGATGAGCTTTACAGAATAATAAAAATATTTTCCAATTTCAATACTGAATATTCCATAATCATCCCAGAACCCGGTGTCACAAATGCATGAGCAATTACTAGTATTTAAAATACTATAGAATAACTGTCCGGAATACAAATCTGGACAGAAAAGAAAATACAAGTACTCAGAAGGAGACTCTGCTGGCCGCGGATCGTCTCATAAGATGCAGCTCACCTAAGTCTCTGTATCACCTACGCCGCTGCACCCACAAGGCCACTGAACACACATGTGCATGTACAACAAATGTACAGGCAAGTGTAGTATGAGTACGAAAACAACGCGTACCCAGTAAGTATCCCGTCTAACCTTGAAGAAGTAGTGACGAGAGGTCGACTCCGACACTTACTAGTGGTCCAATAATTTAATAATATGAAATTCTAATTAGGCATGATATACAACAATAAACTCAGAACAAGAAATAACTGAACTAGTCTTCTCCATAATTAAGAGCTTAAATCACTTCCTTCCTTTAAAACATGTGATCACACAAACAATGAACTTATATCAATTACAAAAAGGGACTTCCAGTCCTATTATTACACACAAATACCACCGAGGACGTTCGGCCCGATCCAACATAGATGTAAACTATGCACTGCTGAGGGTCGAACAACACGAACAATAGATGCGTCTATTTACCATGCTCGCAAATCATACATGCGACGCGGTCAAACATAAATTTAAGGAATTTACCCCGCTTGCGAATCATACATGCGACGCGGTTACACATAAATTTCTTAAGTTATTATAATATTCTTCAATTCTTTTAAAATTATGAAGTTCAAATGAAAACCTTTCAGTTCCCAATTTTTCCTCAATTTCAACTCCTTTAAAAATATTTAATAAGCTAACTCAATCTCGCTTCTTATCAAGGCAAACAATAAACGTAAATCAACAACAATATCAACAAGGCATGATGTAAGCCCAAAACTACCCGGACATAGGCATAGCTAGTAGCCACGTATGGACTCTCATCACCTCGTACGTACGTAGCCCCCAAAAATAGAAGCACATAATAATTTAGTTCACCTATGGGGTTAATTCCCTCTTACAAGGTTAGAAAGGAGACTTACCTCGCTCCGAAGATCCATATCCGGCTTCCAAGCCCTTCCGATGACTCAAACCGATGTTCAACGCTCCAAAACTAGCTAATAAATGTGCAAACCCATAAAAATATACTCTAATACTCGCAACAATTCGATTTAACAATTTCCCAACTCCGCTCGAAAAGTTGATAAATTCACCCTCGGGCCCACGTGCCCGGATTCCAAAATTTTTCGAAGATAAACTTTACCCATAACCTCACAAACTCAAATATATAATTTATTCTCAATTCCATGCCCAAATCCGTGGTCAAAATCCAAAAATACCAATTTCTAAGTTTCTACCAAACCCCACAATTTCTATAATTTTTCATGTTTAAATCCTTATACGAACCATGTATTTAACTAGCAATAGGTGGGAATCATTTACCTTGACATAGATGACAAAATTCTCCCTTCCAAGAGCTCCAAAAATCGCCCAACCAATTGAAAAATGGAGGAAAAATGGCAAAATTCCGTATTTAAAATGACACTGCCCTTCTTCGTGCTCGCGATCATAGCCTCGCATTCGCGAAGGCTCTTAGTCTCCCCTGCTTCGCGTTCGCGGTTGGAGCTCCGCGTTCGCGAAGGCCAATGGCTCCAAGTCCCCCAGGCTTCCTTCCCTCTTCACGTTCGCGTAGCCTTGGCCGCGTTCGCGAAGGCTTACCCAGCTCCCGCCTCGCGTTTGCGTCCACTGCCTCGCGTTCGCGAAGGCCAAATCCCAGCCGCCTCATAGTTCCTCTTCGGGAACGTGGGAGTCCCTTTGCGTTCGCGAAGAAGGAAACCAGATACAACAACAGCAGCAACAAATCACCCAATTTGGTCCGGAAACCACCCCAAAACACACCCGAGGCCCCTGGGACCCCGTCAAATCATACAAACCAGTTCCATAACATAACACGGACCTGCTCGAGGCCTCAAATCACATCATACAACGCTAAAACCATGAATCGCACTCCAATTCAAGCTTAATGAACTTTAGAATTTCAAACTTCTACATTTGATGCCGAAACCTATCAAATCACGTCCGATTGACCTCAAATTTTGCACACAAGTCACATTCGACATTACGAACCTACTCCAACTTCCGAAATCGGAATCTAACCCCGATATCAAAAAGTCCACCCCCGGTCAAACTTCTCAAAAACCTTCAAGTTTCTAACTTCCGCCAAATGACTTTGAAATGACCTACGGACCTCCATATCCACATCCGGACGCGCTCCCAATACCAGAATCACCATAAGGAGCTATTCCTGAGAATCCCAAATGGACATCGATAACATTGAACTGTAATTCAACCAAAATTTTTGAATTTCTTCCAAAAAGCCAACTTCCACAATAGACGTCGAAACTTTTCCGGGTCATCCAAAACCCGATCCGAACACACGCCCAAATCCGAAGTCATCATACAAACTTGCTGGAACCTTCAAATCCCGATTCCGAGGTTGTTTACTCAAAAATCTAACCTTAGTCAATTTTTCCAACTTAAAGCTTCCGAAATGAGAATTCTCTTTCCATATCGACTCTTTCCCGAATTTCAATTCCGACTATGCGTACGAGTCATAATACCTGAAGTGAAGCTACTCATGACCTCAAACCGCCGAACAACGCTAGCAGTTCCGCCTGCAAAAAGTCGTTGCATAACAAGATTTATAAAAGCCCTAGATCCAGTCACCATTGTTATTTCTAAAGACTCCTCCTATGCCTGCATGCAAAGTAGCTTTTAAGAAAGCACCATCTATATTAAGCTTGACTATGTTTTGATGAGTCTTAATCCAATTAATGTCTATTTTCATCTTAGTTATTTTTAGAAGCTTTGTTTCAGTGAAGAAATTATATTCCTAGGCTTGTTTGGGAACTTCAGAGACACTCATGTCATGATCAAGGTTATTATAATTATTGTTGTTTCTATTTTTTCAAAGGTTCCATATGGCAAATGGGAAAATATTTTCCTATTGGTTCATGTGATTCCTACTTTGCATTGGTGAATTTTTTAGCTTGACTAGCCAGTGGGAGTTAACAGCGTTTGAATTAAGCATCATCCCAGATTTTCCCAGAAGCGAGTAATTGCTATTGGACAGTGGAGAAAAATTTGGTGTGCATCTTCGGGCCCTTGTTTACAAACGGGGCAATTGTCATCGATGTTGAAGCCAATATGGTGTAGGAAAGTTCTACATGGAAAACGATTATGTGGGCATTGCCAAAAGAAATAGTTGATTATATTAGGGCATTGAAGTTTCCATATCCAAGTGAAATCCAGTTTTCGGATAGTATTATCGTCTAGGAGTGTATAGCAAGATTTAGTAGAAAAAGCTCCACTATTGCTAGGAGCCGAGTCATATAGTCCCTATCAAAATGATTGCTAGGAATTTGAGTATCTTTAATACTATTAACGATAGAGGTTGGTGTGAGCACGTGATTTTTGCCTCGCTTGAATTACTCCTATAACATTCTTAGAATTAGGATTTTTCTTTATTATTTGATGTTTTTTATGAATTAATTGCATGATTTTGTGTCTTGTTTGCATTTTTGTGTGCATTTTTACTTGATATAATTCCAAAAATACAAAGTAGTACACGTTTAATATTACAAAATAAAGAAAATAACAAAAATGGTTCTTTGCATTTATACTTTTAATTTTAGAATTTGTCTTAAGTTTGCTTTTAAATTAGGAGTTAGTTTATTTAGGAATTAATTAGTATAATTGTAG